CCTGCCGATCCTCCAACAACAACAAAAAAGAAAGTCTATCTTCAAGAACACACAGACGAAGCGAAATATCTCAGTCAACAACAAAACACATTCACAATGGCCTCCCTCATGCGTTCTGCGCCTCGCGCCATCCGCCAGCTTCGCGCTCCTCGCATCGCCAGCAAGATCGCCCCATTGACTTCCATCCGGACTGACATGCATGACCACCGCGATCCGCCTCGAGGCAACCCAATCATCTCAGACCGCTCTCCTCCAGACCCTCCCGTCGAGGAGGCTGTTGCTTTGAAGGACAACTACAAATCTGGCTCCTACCTTGGAACCACCAAGCGTCTGCCTGAATTCAACCTGAACGACAAGGTCGTGTTGGTCACAGGTGCTGCCAGAGGTCTGGGTCTCGTGCAGGCTGAGGCTTTGCTCGAGGCTGGTGCGACTGTCTACGCACTTGACCGTCTTCCGGAGCCGAGCAGAGATTTCTACAGAGTGCAACAGAGAGCTGCTGAGGAGCTTGGTGAGTGTTGGATATCAAGCTGAACAAGCTCTCATGGACTAACATCAAATCCCAGGCAACACCCTCCACTACCGTCAAATCGATGTCCGAGACGTCCAAGGCCTGAACCAAGTCGTCAAGAGCATCAGTGACTCTCAGGGAAGATTGGACGGCCTGATCGCAGCCGCCGGTATCCAACAAGAAACTCCCGCCCTCGACTACACCCAGGCAGACTCCAACATGATGTTCGAAGTCAACGTCACCGGAGTCTTCATGACCGCCCAAGCCGTCGCAAAAGAGATGATCCGCTGGGGCAACGGCGGCAGCATCGCCATGATCGCCTCCATGAGCGGCACAGTCGCTAACCGAGTAAGTTCTCACAATACGTCAAATGTCACACTTCAATGATACAAACACTAACACATTCACCGCAGGGCCTAATCTGCCCCGCCTACAACGCCTCCAAAGCCGCCGTGCTCCAACTCGGCCGCAACCTGGCCTCCGAATGGGGCCCCTACGGCATCCGCGTCAACACCATCTCGCCCGGCTACATCGCGACCGCCATGGTCGAGGCGCTGTTCGAGAAGTACCCCGAGCGCAAGCGCGACTGGCCCACGCAGAACATGCTGGGCAAGCTTAGTGTTCCTGAGGAGTACAGGGGTGCGGCGGTGTTCTGCATTAGCGATGCGAGCAGCTTCATGACGGGATCTGATTTGAGGATCGATGGTGGACACTCTGCTTGGTAATGGGTGATGGTTTTGTTGATGACTGAGATATTTCGCTTCGTCTGTGTGTTCTTGAAGATAGACTTTCTTTTTTGTTGTTGTTGGAGGATCGGCAGG